CCGCCCCGCCCCGCCCCACCCATGCACACTGCTCGCGAGGATGTGGCGCACCCCAGAGGCTGAAAGGAAATTTGCGTAACAAATTTAGATTGCGCCGCCGAGACGCGCTTTGTTCTTTTCCACGTGCCGAGGATTCCTTTGTTTACGACTTTGCTTTCTCTGCGAGCGTTGTTTATTTTTCGGTTTCGTCGGGGATTTTTAGTGAGGAATGAGACGAAGTCATTGTGCTCCATATGCATTTGTGATATTGTCGTTCTCGAGGTTTATTTTAAGAATATTTGTAATTAGAATATGTCTGTGAAATATTAAGTCTTCTCTAATTTTAAAATGTGCTTGTAAGACAAAGTGATATATAGATCCGCGCTGTGTTCAAAATGTTTCTTGACCACCGATAACACTGAGGGTAGTGTGCTAATTATAATTCTGCACCGTGATGTAAGAACCACTGGAACTTCGTGCTTTTAGACGTGATGTTAACCTTGGAGCGTCAATGCAGCATTCCTCATCTATTAGCATGTTGCAAACATTTTAAAAAATTTCTAATTTGGATTTTTTTCAGTGGATTGAAAATGAGATTGCTCAATGAGAAACAACGAAATTACACAAACTTCTTCTAATAAAACCATATGAACCTAGTCATACGAATACTCAATTTTTTCTTCCGACTTCTAAGTAATTTTCTCATATATTTCGACTAAACTGACTTGAGAAAATAGGTTGAATAAATGGATAAGAATGCCCTACAGGGAACATTGGATCTGTTTAGATATTTCTCATTCGTGAAATTTGAAGCCTATTGCTCATCTAAACTCACTTAAGCAATAATTCAAATATCAATATTCAAGAAATATTACAAAAAAGGATTTTTAATTTTCTACATTGTTATTTTTTATGTAAATTCAGATTCAAAAATTAATATATCTTATATATAATCGCGCAAATGTTTTATCATAAAATCTAATGTACACGAGTTGGGTCACGTTTGCTACTCCAATCCCACGTACAGCCGATGCAAGGGCTTACAATAAATAGTTGTAGCGAAATTGTTTAAAAAGACGACAGCTTTGAAAAGCTGGACAGCTCAGTCGGATGTGGCTCATCAGGGAAGTCCAGTCGAGAGCGGTAAACACGGGCCAGTTTAAGCTGGTGGCCAGAGATGAATAGTTGTTATACTTCGATTTAAATACAGTGACACTTTAAGGTCATGAACTAGGCAGAGAGGGAAACACTGTCTTCTAATCAGGATATTGGTTTTGTAGTGAGTTTTCGTTGGCATTTACAATGAAATAAGTATGAGTCATCATTTCCAACAATATTGTTTATTATAAGAGCAACTTTCGATGGCTTAGCTATCGTGATCAGTTTTATAGTACAAAAAATATATTAATACGTGAGTCAAAACGTTCCAATATGTTTGCCAATCGTTTACTACTGACCGGCAGTACATTCAATCTGCACACAGATATTCGTGTACTGGAAATGGACAATCAATATCACACCAGATTAACTTATCAAAACGTCCATATTCATTTAAACTTACTGAATTAAAACATAAGCCTTAGCCTCTCTCCTCTATTAAAATTATTATTAGACACCATTCACACCCCACACTCTTCCGGGACGGCACAATAGACAGCGCACCGCACTCAGGCCATTACCTTACTCCACCCCACAACAGGTACTTAAGCCCCCTGGCTCGCCCGAGCCTGCGTCGTTGTTTGGTGTTTCCATACAGCAGGTAAGAAACGACTCAATTAACATTTCATGTTTTCTGTTCCAAAAATTTCAATTGTTCAAATTCAATTTCATTCACTTTCTTGTAATATTAAATGATTTAACAACCCCTTTCTTTCTTTCTATCGTTCTTTCTTTCAGTTCTTAAAACGTTAATTCTATTTTCTAAATTTTAAATTATTAGTAATCTAGTTATTTTAATGCTGTTTTTGACTTACATTTTAATATGTTTTTTTTAACTAGAAAACTGATGATGATGATGATGATGATGGCTAAGCCATCGAAAGCTGCCCTTATAATAAACAATATTGTTGGCAATAACGACTCATTTGATTATTTCATTCTAATCAGGAACTTCCATACGACCAAAAATTTTGATACTGAGTTACCGATAGGATGACAGTGTCCCCCCCTTCTTCCATCTCGTGAACGGGAAGTACAAAAAAAATCGGAGTTTAACGTAGACTGAATTAGTGGTGCGAAGTAGGGTGCACCTCACAAGTAGGATGCAGACAAGATGACGTACTAGCTCTGCTACGGACGTTACGTGTACGAACTGCCCAGAAGAAGAGCAGATATTTACTTTACGTATTGTATACCTAGCTTTCTTGTGTGATACTTAATCATCAGCAAATAATGTGTTATTGTATCACTACAATTTTAATCACTGACGGCGTTCGGTCTCTTTTTTTCAATTCTCTAATCATGCGATCTACAGAGATGTTGAATAAAGTTGGCGTCATACTACATCCTTCTTTCACTCCTTGTTTTGTCTCTATTTCAAGTATTTAGATTTTACCAATGGCAATTCTAATTATAGTGTTATTATGGAGATTTTTTGAGACCTGGATCAACTTTTTAGGGAATCCTCTTTTTTTATTATACACCATACCTTATCAATTTAGATCGTATCCAAGAATATTTTCCAAGTTTCCACAAATACAGGCTGTTTTTCTAAATTAAATTCTCACCTCTTTTGTATAATCTGTTATAATGCGAAGATATCATCAGTACAAAATCTTTACTAGCAGAAACCAATTATTATATGAAGATATTTACATGAATTTAATTTTATGAATGAAAGTAAATACCACATGCTAAAGAAGAATATTAGAAAAAGTAAAATATAGCGCGGTAGTGTAAATGTTAATCCTGTAGGGTTGTCCGTTGCCCTACAATATTAATGCATGTTTTAGACAGACACTAGTATAAGTGGGCCATTCTGGCGATTTTCACAGTGATATAGAACAAAACGACATCGGTATTTTGACTACTTACGGAAATGTACTGAAACTTCTGAAAGTTGAGACAAGAAGCTCACTGTGAAAATTGACGGACAATGATTTGAAATAAATCAGCTACATAATGTTTTCTGTGGTGCGAATGTATCACCACCACACATGACACCAACATGGCCCTTTTAAAAATAGAAGATATTTTAACGTGCTTGATGAACGATGCTGCTAATGAGAAAATACCGGTGGTTTTCTTATCAGTTTGACTGATTCTTTTGGAGGAAATGTGACCTCAGTAGCTTGAATGATTGCAACATTAGAAGATTTCACCGGAACGTTTCTTCAAAGGGAAATTTGACCGATGCGGTCGCCAAGGTCACTGGACTTCCCTGCGCCGTGCAGATTGAGGACCGCTGAGTTGTGCGGCCCCGCGCCTCGATCTTCGGAGTAACTGCTTTTCATACGATGCCGGTTTTCATACTCTTTTCTGCTGTGGACTATTTATTACGGACCAATTCACGCAGTACTGATAAATGTGTCTTTTGAAGATCTATTCGCGTAAAAATGTACAGTGTTCTAATTTAAAAGAAGATCGCACAATATGTTTAAAATAAAAATGCTATTAACTAGAACTGACGAGCCGTTGTGTCCTAAATCGTTTGATGCAAATAGCATCTTGATATCTTCAAGCATTTGGAGAAACATTTTGTTGATTAACTCTGTATTGCATTTGATGTATCATTTCAAGTATACAGTTTTGCAAATCTCTTTTAAACAAATTTGAGCAAAACAAACAAATCTATTGATGACAAAATTGTAAACCCACTATTTTTGTCAAATTTTAAAATATAGCTTACAGATATATCGCGTACCACTTTCAGAGCCATCTGAAGGCAAAAATTGCTTAGTCTGTTATAGCTTTCAATAAGCAAATAACTGCCTAATTTTAGTGTATATATTCCATAAAATTATTTATGAAACATATCAAAAAAGTTTTATATTCATGTGCATAATTTACATAACGTGGGCGTGTATGATATACATTACGACCCCCTTTTTGTATTTAGAGGGCAAATGAAAGCCGAGTTGGGGGAAGTGGTCCGTGCCAAGAGCGCCGGTCTTTCTAGTCGGCATGTCGCACATGCGAGCACATTTTCACACGTGTGTTACGAGTATATTCTTTAAATATGTTATTGTATTTTTCTCTGCGATTTTAAAATTTTTGTACTGATCTAAACGATGTTTACTGCGAGTCACCTCAAGTCACCTGTTTTTTCACCTTGAATAGAGCGATGATAGGAGTGGTCCATGGCCCCTGCACGGGGCGCCGTGGCAGATGGCCGTGAGCTTTCAACTCTCGTGTAAACTGGTGGAGACAATTACCGTGGCGCGCCCTTCCCTTGAACCTTCTTGCAAGAACTATACGACAGACTGCTGCCAACATTGAGCTGACACGTGGGGGAGGTAAAGGCTGGCACGATTCAAGAATACGCTCTCACTGGATGTTCGCATTTTATTTAGCCACGGTGTTTTTCAACAACTGTTATCAATACTAATGCTTGAACCCCCGCATATTTGTATTTTCATTAAATGTGTTGAAGTTTAGTGTGCAATGTTGACGAGTCTTACATCTACTTGTGCCCAGCCACATTATTGTCCGATTTAAACATACACTACGTGATCAAAATAATCCGAACACGTCCAAAATGGTGTTATGGTGTGATCGTGATTTTTTCATGGAGGGGCATTGCCCCTCTTGTTGATTTGTGAGCACTATCACGACATAGGCCTACGATGATGTTTTAAACACCTTGCTTCCCACTGTTGAAGAGCAATTCCGGGGTGACGGTTGCATCTTTCAACACGATCGAGCACCTGTTAACAATGCAGGGACTGTGGTGGAGTGGTTACACAACAATAACCTCTCTGCAATGAACTGGCCTGCACTGAGTTCTGACTTGAATCCTATCGAACACCCTTGGGATGTTTTGGAATGCCGTATTCGTGCCAGGCCTCACCGACATTCATTGATACGTCTCCTCAGTGCAGCACTTTGTGAAGAATGGGCTGCCATTCCCCAAGAAACCTTCCAGTACCTGATTGAAAGTATGACAGCGAGAGTAGGAGCTGTCATTAACGCTAAGGGTGGGCCAACATTCAATTAAATTTCAGTATTGTCGATGGAAGGCGCCACGAACTGCAAAGTCATTTTCAGCCACGTGTGCTGATACTTCTGATCACATAATGTAATTACTTCTGCCACATCATCAGCTGTAACGGGTATCCGATCAGGAGATCTAATAACAAAAATTAAAGTCGAAACGAAGCCCCTGATTGGATAACCGTGCCCAACTGATGATTTGTCACAAGCCGCTATATTTAAATCAGTAAATCAGTCACTAGCGTTGCTATAATTTTGTCCCGTCTGTGAAAGAGAGTTAAATGGCCGAGGTGCGGCTGCATCTGGAGCGCGAGGCGTAGCGTCGGCGCCGGCCGCCAGACGGTGCTGCTCGGCGCCGTGAGGCGGGATCGAGCGGCGACCGGCGGCGGGGCCGGGTGTGGTGTGGAGGGGAGGGGAGGGGGAGAGGAGGGGGCTGGCGGAGGGCTGTTCTCGCCAGTCGCGCGCGGACCGTTGCGGCCGCCTGAGAGCGCACCGATCGCGGCGCGTTGCGGCTCTCCTCCGCCGGCGGACCGCCCGCCCACCATCAGCTCACCACCAGCTCACCACCCGGCGCCACTCGTGCGGTGCGGGGGGACCGGTGGTCGTCTGTGGTCTCCTCGCCCGCCCTGCTTCCTACTACTGCTGCTGCTCTTCCTCTCGAGCTTCCGGTCCGTGCTGCTGGAAGCTGAACGCGCGAGCAAGGTAATGGCCGTGTTTAACTACTTGCGGATCGCATGCTGTCTTGCGCTACTACTTGCAGGGCAAAGTAATTTTTACATTTTTTTTATTTACCAAATAGGTAATTATTGCACATTTGATTTAAATAATTTGATACTATTTTGCTTGGTTGAAGGCCTTATTATATTTACATCCTACTGTGTTATAACCTTTCGAATTCTGGTATCCACCCCAAATGTTTACTTAATGGCATAAAATCCGCGGAAAAGATACCGTGAGGTACGGCTGAGGAAACCCTCTCTGAAGGGGAAAATCCTTTAGTCAGAATACGCGTTTGTCTCTGTTGTCACAGGTAACGTCATGTAATATAAAAAGACATAATATAACAGACGTCAGACATATTTGAATCTATCATTATTGTGTGAATTTTCAAGAATCTTTCAGATCCTTCTGATTCTGGTGCTTTAGTATTTCTTTAAATAACGTAGATGTTGTATGGTTGGGTTTCACATGTCTTATAAGACGTGTGGATGGTTTATTTCTTTTACTGAGTCGTCAACTTTTGTGTCGTAACTACTTACGGTGTTGTCAGACACTGCATGCTGTGTTTATGTTTACGTGTTTTGTTTACACTAATGAATTTATTGTTTCCATGTACTGTTTTGGGTTTCGATAACAACTATCTTCATGAAGAGTTAAATAACTTTTATTTCTCATAAAATACGTCTTACCGCCATGCGGAAGAACGCCAAAGTTAATGACGTATTGAGTTGTAGTTATTTGATTAGAAATAGCTATCATGAAATAAAATATCTAGCTTGTTTGTTGGTATAAAAAGTTTCTATTACACGGCAACGAATATTTATTAAAATGGAATGTTGCAGAATCACTCGTTGCAATCATTACTTATAATCCAACCAAGAAAAAGTTAGTTATATCGGGAAAAGAAATAATGTTATACAGCGTATGTTTGAGTGTGCCAAATGCACTATAGAAAGAGTAGAACCAATATTATCAACTATTAATGTTATTTTATCCTGTAAAAAGTATGTTTGAACAAATTGTTTTAAAAGACGATAAAAAGGGATTTTGTAATAATTTGATCTTTATGAAAATCACTGGAAACGTATTATCACTGCAAATTATCTTTAGACACATAAACTACTTGTTCCAAAATAATGTTCCATTGACATTTAGTACGACTGCTCTTGGCACAGCAAAGAGCATGAAATTGATTTCAGACGTTTATGGCATATTTGGGAAGAAACGCTGTACCATTCTGCTTCTAATGCTGTCCTAATACTCTGTTGTATTACAATTTTTCTTTTTCGAAGGTTTGTTTGCGGGATGTTCCATAAATCTTCAAAAGTTTTTAGATTCAATGATGCGGCATGTAATGTACAGTTTTATTAGCACATTGTCCAAGATCCGAAGTTTCGTATGCTCAGAGTCATTGACATGCTGCAAAATGTACTTATTTTTCAAATTCATATCAACAACACTAGCTTGGTAATTTGGCTTTAGAATGTCAATGTATATAAATTGATGAATTACTCAATTTATAAACTGTAATTGCCCTATCTCACTGTCACTCGTACGATCCCAACGAACACCGATCCACTATTATGTTTGACAGTGGGAATTAGGTAAATGAATGTAGCTTAACTACGCGCTTGTTTATTGAACTCTCCTTTTGTTTGTGGTGGTAAGAGTATTGGGATGTGAGCTGCTAACAGGATTAAAAAAATAATCTACATTTCGTTTATCAATGTAAATAACTTTGAAACATTGCAAACCTTGTTTTATTGACACTGTTATTCACCATACAACAATGAACATAATATGTACTGTAAATTGTGGGGAAGAGATTCTGGATCTCACAAAAACATGCGCAGATTACAATGAAAAACAAATTTTGAAAATTCGCGGATACCATGGTACGAACTAACACCTGTTCTAAGATAAGTGAAACGTGCTTCTTCAAAATATGCAAATCACTTGTCTCTATTACCCACCGAGGTTTAGATGTACTCATTCAACCAATTATTTTGCACTAGAATAATTTCATGAAGTACTAATGAACACATAGTTTGCTATGAAAATAGTGAGATTGAGTCGCATGACACACTTATAGTATAGTAATATATATTTCAAGGTATAATACTCACATACAATACATTCACACTGAAAATACTTAATATAAGGTGTATTTGGTTTAAATGCCTTGAATTTAATAGGTTTTTATGTCTGGGACAAAAATGTAAAGTTTATGTACCCGGTGTAAGGAAATAAATTCTTTAAGGCGCGAACCGAACAGTTCTGTTTGACGTTTCGTTTGTGCGAGATCTCGGACGAGGTCACAACGATCAGCAGTGTCCATTAATGAATACCTTGTTCAGATTGGTAGTGAAGGTCCCGTACGTTGCTGAAAGATGAAACAGAACTTTATTCTTGCGTTTCTTTGTCAGCTACAAACGTCGTAGGAGCTATTGATATTGGAAAAGTGCTGGTATCATGTGGATTTAGTTAAGAAACTCGAGGAATGTCTCGATACTTTAGATGAAACAAACAGAATCTTCTTTCCTGATTAAAAATGGAATTTTAGCCTTCTACAAATAAAAATAATGATTCTATTTCTTCAATGGTATCTAAGAAAAGCGCCGATAAACTTATCTCTGCTAAGCAGTTATTCACTTGTTGCCATACCCTGAAGTGAAATCTCTGTGCTTGTTTGAAAGACACCAACATCTGAGCACTGAAACACGAGATGGTGTTCTTGCATACTTCAAAATAATATTTTTTCTATAGTCTGAGAGAGTTTTAATATTTCAACTGGTGTGTTAACAATTTTTTATGCATTTATCTTTGTAATTATGAAAAAAGTAAGTAATAGAATAGTAAGGAAAAATATTAGAAGGAAAGTAAATAAAGGGTACGAAGTCTGTACGAAGCCTAGCACGCGAATACTCGTGATAAGAATGGACACAATAGTTACAGAAATAAAAAAGAAACCATTGAAAGATTAGTATTGCTAACATGTTTTAACGTATTACCTTAAATATAAATAATTTCACAGACGATCGAAATATTGTGTGGTGTTACATGATTTACAAACTTTACAAAATTTACATGATTTGATGCATATGCCAGACGGTTCTGTCTGTTCACTTCACTTATCAAAATCGTTCAGGCAACGTATCCATTGTGGACATTACGCCGGTGGTGTCAAGGCCCCCTAGTGGTGCCAGTGTCACGCTGCGAGCTTGTCTGCGGAACAAGCGTTGGTTAAGGAAACTATCAGCAGTAACCCCGCCATTTTTCAACTGAATGGAATAGCTTGTAAAAAAATGTTCTGGATGCTCAATTGACAGTCGGAATGCAAATAGACGCGCACACGTTTTTCGCATATTTTGGCCTTTGTTGGGCGTTCAGGTTTCGCCGGCGACCTCCTCCCGGCTCTCCAACACCTTGTGTCACCTCCCGGTATGTGACCTTGAAATGCCGTTGTCCTCGAAGGCCTCTTGAAGCCTTTGGAATAAATCGGGTGCATTCTTTCCCCGCAAAATTTCCGCCAAGTCTCCGGCAAAATTTCTTAGCATATTGTTATTCAAGCGAAAGTTCTATCGCGATGTGTTACGAAGTTGTAAGTTAAAAAACACTTCACACGGAGGCACATCTTTCCGCTCACACTTCTCAGAGCAAACTGGTGACCGGATGTGTAGAAAGGGCTGACCCCCGCCCCCCCCCTACACACAGAATGTCCGCTTGATTTCACCGCGCTGCCATGGATAGTTGCGACACAATAAAATCATGCGCACTACTTTCATAATGGACCTTGTACATTTTACCTCTTCAAAATATTTCTTGATCGACGGAAACTATAGCATGAAGTGTGCACTCGATCAGCACGTTTCGGAACATTCGTAATCCTTGTGTAAGATTTTTTTTGACATTGATGACGCAAGATTGCCTTGTAAAATACGATATTCTTAAAAAAATATTGCCAGCAAAAATAAACCAGTAATTTATGAAATAAGATGAAAGGGTTGGCATGCTTAGCTTAATTAATAGTCGCGAACTCCAATAAAACCCTAATAGCAGACCACTGCCCCCACCCAACTCCCAGTACTCTCTTCCTCAAGCCACACTCGCGATAGTCCACAATAGATCCATTCCAAAAACATTTACCTTTCTCTTAATCGGGCACTTAACACTAAATTCCACATCATATTGCGCTATTGTTATGAACAAATTAAAGGAGTCAATTTATTGTAAGTTTAATATTTTATGCGACTTTTCCCAACGTTAGTTTTACTGAGGAATGCACCGCCCTAGAGCCTTTACGGAGTAGCCGCCACCGTCTGCCACAAAGGTCGGTTCACTTGTTCATATGTTGAATTTCACCACACGAACCTTGATACACTCATATTGAGCACTTAATATATGTGAGTGACCGCACCACAATTTTTTGGTATATGTTTTTCTCTCTCAAAATAAACAAAAAGAAAAAAGACAGGTTTACAGAGTGCTTCCGTCATCATTGCTAATACGCCGAGAACTTATCTTACATGAAATATGCAGATTTAATTTGATAAAATTGGTATCTTGTTCGTAGGCTAATTTTGTAAATAATTAACGTTAAACATGGGCTATGCTCTTGTGTTCGTGTAACATGTGCTACGGCAAGTGAGCGAGCGCCTTCATCTTGCCTTAGGGCTCGCCACATCTCTGGAAAACTCAATTGCTAATACAATCCGAGAAACGCAGCAAGCGAGTGCAAGGTAAATAGTGCGCGAGGCCAACGAATCACAGTCCCCTGTCTGGTGAACAACTCAAGCAGGCAGACTACGACTTCTTCATTTCCAGCGGGTGCAGCATTCCTGCAGTAGAGTTTTTTAACGTCGTTTTCAATTCGCTAGCTTCAAACTGACATTTTGTTCTTTGGTCATGTGAATCGTGTTTTCCAAGAACTGGCCCAATTAATGTGCACAATTTGCATGTGGGTGCCGAGGAAACCCTGAATA